ACACACACACACACACACACACACACACACACACACACACACACACACACACACACACACACACACACACACACACACACACACACACACACAGAAAGAGGGGAAATTACTCAATTCTTTGTATGCGAGTCATTGTTTTGACCCTGCAGCTGTGGTCAACACACAGACAAACACTCTTCAACCCAAATATCTTTGGCAGCGCTGTCCACACACACCCTCTTAACGCACATAGTCATTTGGCGTGACACTAATTTCATGATAAAACTAGTTGACCCGTGAAATTGGTGTTAAGGGGAAGACGAGGTCAGACTGTGCGAACCTGCCCGCTAAGGGAGTCCACCAATATACACACAGTCTGCTTTTAAGTGTTTTTGATTGAGTTTCCACACGATTGCCTTCAGGCTGAGGGTTAAGCATGATGCATACTCTATTGAGTCATTGTCATCCACTGTCCTTTCAATTCCTTCTGAATCATGTCTCTCTGGCCCTCTCCTCTAATTCCCTTATTCATTACGTCAACACACACACACAGAGAGAGAGAGAGAGAGAGAGAGAGAGAGAGAGAGAGGAGTACAAAAAAAAACAGGTCTCCTTAGCATGATCGGCTAATGAGGCAGGGTGGGGAGGAGTGAGAGAGGGAGGAGTGAGAGAGGGAGGAGTGAGAGAGGGAGGAGTGAGAGAGAGAGGTGTGTGCAAATGTCAGACAGGCAATATAAGTGTGTTCTTTTGCAGATGAGGAGAAAAAAACCAAATACCATCGTTTTTCAGGAGGGAATCTTAGTGATAAAACACAACAAACAGCAATCAGCACTAAGCCCTCTGGTTCTTAATAATGATGTTTACCTAAAATCAGGTCACAGATGCATTCTCCAGTTTAAGGATGGACACATCCGTCTCTAGGTCAGAAGATGATTGCGTTCGTTATGTTGGTGCACACTGGAATACTTTAAGGTGGATTAGCGTGACATTTGCTAAAATCATTCTGATCCCCACAGGATGAATCCTATTGACTTCATTGATTATTTTACTTTCAGTCTAGTACCAGCAGCAGGCTAAAGTTTTGAGAGAGAAATTTCTTTACTTCGCAGATCACACAGTTGTTTATTTACATTTCATGGATGATTCTGAATGGCTCTGCTGACTCATCTTGGCATTGACCCAAGTGTAGTGCTGTTCTCTCACTGTAAACAGCAGTTGCATCTTTTGGGAAATATTAAACTATGGTAAGTACATGTTTTTTAAATGCTCTTTTAATGGGTTACATTTACAGAGCGACCTTTAAAGAAAAAAGGTACAAATAATATATACAAACATAGATCGAAATATTACCTATTTTGTACAAAAGCCAATGTTTCGGCAGATTCATTATTATATCAATAAACTGACATGCATTATTATATATCTTTTATTTTTTAAACGTATTTGACATCACTTAAACATTATTTACAATATTTTTGCACTATTGGAACTTTAACATGTATTCTCAATGCATTGTATAACATTTTTCAATAAAGTTGGGGATAGTTGTGTACAGTGCAGGCACGATGACACTGTTACTCAAGCTTTAAAAGAGCAATCATTTGGAAGTATTAAGAGTGTGCAGGTTTTTTTTTATCTGCTCAGGCGATCTGAATACATTATTAATCAATTTGAGCACATTCTTCTCCCTATTTATGAGGATTGGGGTCAGGCCCAATGTGCTCCTTCGACCCTTCAGTAGAGTCACCATCCATACTGCAGCTCCCCTCCTCAGGGACACCGTGTTTCTCAATGGACTAGCCAGCAGTGTATCAGAGTGTTTTGTGCGAGTTGGCATCAGAGTGCAGCTTTCTGCAAGACGTTGGTCACGGCCTCCTCTTTAAACCGGCCCCTCTGTCTGTAAAACGGGGAGCCTTGTTTACCTCCCTCACAACTTTAGAACTCACCCTCTCCTCTCTTTCTATCTTCCACTCTCCAGCCCAGGGTGCCTCTTTCTCGTTTTCACTAAATCTCTGCCCTCATCTCTCTCTCAATCCCTTCCTTCCGGGCCCCCATTCAATCGTCCACTCACATCATCTCCCCCTAAACCCCTTCCTCTGTCTCTCTTCTTCCCACAGTCCATTAAAACAATAGCAGTGACATTATTACATGCTCTCTCTTCATATATACATCGTAAAATAGTCTGACTAACATCTAATGCAAGTCCTTCATGGGGGATGGTAGTCATGACAGTACTTTTATATTTGACAGTACTATGCAGTGGTGGAAAGTAACTAAGTACATTTACTCAAGTACTGTATTCAAGTATCATTTTCATGAACTTGTCTTGAATATTTCTATCAACTACTTCTTTATACTTTTGCTCAACTACATCCCATAACATGATGTGATTATATGATCTATATATTCACAGTAGTAGAGAAAGTATTGAAACATTACTACATTAAACAATGTTGACATGTAATTGTAAAAAAATATATATTCTACCAGAATAACACACATTTTGAATAAGGAATATCTTTATATTTGATATATTTTGCTGATAATACTCGTGTATTATACTTTTTTGGTATTACTGTTGTATCAATACTTTTGATTTAAGTAAAGGACTTGAGTACTTTTTTCACCACTGGTCATGAATGGGTTAAACGTGATTTTAGCAGACCTGCGTCATAAACTCACTTCTGTATGAAAGAGGTTAACAGATGTTTTCTTGTATCATCAAGAAAGTATGTCTTTGTTTCAGGCGAGCCCTGCACTATTGCACCGTCAATTAGCAGCAGTTGTCTAAATAGAGAAAAGCCTGCAATCATTACACACACAAACTTAGACACTCACTCTCAACACCCATCTTTCTTTATATCTGTTCCTCTCACTTGGCATATCTTAAGGTATTTCCTCATCTTATCATTTGTAAACGTACATAATTGCAAGTTACATCAAAGCAGCCATCACTATATATTTTAGTTGTAGTTAGTATTCTTTAATGTTATTATTTGTTTGACTCGATCAGATTAGAATATGAGGTTTTCCCACTGTAAATTCCACCTGCTGTAAGTACACTACTAACAGCCTTAGCACATGACCGTCACAAGACACTAAATCCATCACTTTACCACCTGTTGCATTCTGTTTGTCAAAATAAGAGTTGAATGAATGATTAAACAAACTGATGGACACCAAACAAATGTCCTTACCTATCGTTGCTTCTGTTGCGCTCTTATTCCCCGTAACTCCTTTTCTTTTGTCTCTCTTCTTTACACCACTTACCCTTCTAATAGTCCTCACTTTCTTTCACTCTTCTTCTCTCTCCTTTTGCCTACATCTGCCTTACTCACTTCCCACGTCTTAGAAAATGCCTGCCCTACAAACCATCATTGCCATTTTCTCTCTCCCATCCTCCCTCTCTCGTCTCTCCCTCGGAGCGCTGCTTCCCCTCGGGACGCTCGCTCACAGAAACAAGGGCAGAGAAGTGGAGGGTGGGGGGTGGGGGGGAGAGTGTGAAAGAGAGGAGCGGAGGCTCAGGGAGTGCTGGAGGAAGAGAGACAGCGAGAGGTGAAAGAAGGATGGATGAAGGAGAAAGGAGAAGGAGAGAAACCGCACCTACTGTGCCAGACTGCTAATGGATGCTATCATGGACTATGTTTCAGAAGCATCTCTACAACACAGTCATTAGTATCACCCCACTGGCTTCTCATCTTTTGCAATGTCATTCTTCTGAGGATAGACATCATTAGTAAAACAAAAACATATATATCCATTAAACAGAGACCTCTTAAACAATCACCAGAGAAGAAGCCATAGCCAGATATTCTATTTGGTTCAAACTGCCTGTGGCTAGAGTGCTGTCTTTTATATACACTTGTACAGATTCCCCCTATGAGTCCATGTCCTCATTTCCAAATGTAGTCTGTTTTCATCCCTCAACACGGCTTGAACTTCAGGTCTTGAGGATGAAAAAAAAAAAAGGTAAGGGACGATCAAAAATACATGTTAGGATGGTCACAACACAGAAGGTAGACCGAGCCCTAAACAAACACAGCTCTGTTTAAATAATCACGTTAATGTCTCAGAAAGCCGTCAACACTTTATTTGTAACAAATAAAATGTGAGCCAACCAAAGTTTTATCATTTCCATGGTGTTTTATTTATGACACATAACTTTTTGTTTTGTAAATAATTTCATGATGTAGATATTTGTAATTCTTTTTTTTTCGGTTCAAATTTAAAAAGGTAAAAAAAAAAGTACATAAATATATCATACAAGCAAAGATTGATATAATTCTTATTTTTAACAATCCCAATTTTTCAGCCGTCAAATTAATATATAATATTAGTTACACGATTTTTAAGATACTGATAACAAATAATATGTGCGCTAATTAGGAATCTAATCATTTCCATGGTGTTTTATGTATGACACAAACATTTGAGTTTTGGAAAATAATTTGATTTTCGAAAAACTTTTTTTACAGCCAGCATTTACTTTGGAACAGATTTAATTACATTTCGAGATGATTGGGAAGGAGGTGAAGAAAGGTTTGAGCCCCGCCCCTCACACTGTCACAACCACCATCGTGCACAGACACAAGCACTAAAGCTCGGCTACTTACAACTTTATTGCCGTCTGTCTGGCTCTTTAGGGGTTGTCGTCCTAGCAACAACAACTTCCTGAACCAGCCTGAGCCCGGGAGATAACATGTTATGGTGGAACCGTCACAGGAGTGAGTGCAAAAGTCAAAAAGGTTGTTTTTGACATCTATGTTCTTTTTACCAAACGGATAAAGGGCCAATAAAAAAATACAAAAACAATATCCATACCCGCCCACCCAACTCTTAGGGGCGGAACGGGGGCAGGGAGGGGAGGAACTGGTTTTCATGGCAACGACATTCATAGACTACAACAATAAATCGCCATGGAGACAAGAGATTACCAGAGCAAAAATACAGATTAGTGGACGAGCGCGGAAGTGACAATGGGGATTATTACCGTGCCTAAACCCATTTCAAACCGCATCCAATACAGTAGATATTACAGGCAGGACATGAGGAAGTGCACCCTCCCTCCCCCCAAACCCACTCCTCGCTGAGGGACAACACCCACTGAAGACAGGGGTGCTTCCCCTAGAGCTGCTCAATTAATCTTATTTTAATAGCAATAACGATTTTTGGCTTGCAACGATTATGCAAACAATATCATTGAAATAAAACCATTATTATTATTATTATTTATTTTTTTAATTAGTTTTTCAGTTGAATTACACTTAAAGTTCAGGGTAATCAACTGTTAAAAACATACTGTTCGCATTTTTTTTTTTCAATAAATGGATGTTTTCAAAGTAAATGGATAATCGTTTTTAATAATCGTGATATCAATTATTGACCCAAATAATCGAGATTATGATTTTTGCCATAATCGAGAAGCCCTAGCTTCCCCATTAAATTACAAATTACAAATATGTTCAAAGGATGTTTGTTTTGAACACTTAAAATGTGTAGCTATAGTTTCCACCTCGTGTCACAACAGCCCAAGAGAAGCAGAAAAAACTGAAAATAATATTAAAACTTTGAGGTTGTCGTTTGTTTTACTGGATAAACCACTTCTTATATTGTTGTAATATATAGTAAAATGTGCTTGTTTTTACTCAAATATATTGCAATGGCATCAAATAAACTAAGCATTATAAATGTAATGGTCTTCATTCAGCTGAAACTAATGAATTCAAAGGAATCCAATCCAGCAGATCATACTGGGACCTCCCGAATGTAAACAGTGACGCAACAAGCTAACAGCTTTTCAAAGTGTTTCGCCCAGCGCGGTCCAACAGCTGACGGTTACTGAGCCCCAGTTTGGTTTTCAAATAACCACACGCGTACAGGCAGAGTGCAGAATCCTAATCTGTGCTGTTCTCTTGTACGATCTGCCCATCTGTCACGCAATGACCAAGACACACACACAGATGCCAAACACACACACACACAAACGCATTCCAAAGCATGTAAACACACACAAGCGAAACTAATGATAACCACATCAGATATGGGATTGTAATTCGCGCATTTATACACACAGGATGTTGGTGTGAACATTTTCAACATGTCTGTCTGTCCCTACACTGCACTCTGACCCTCACACTGAGGATTACACAAAGGATAATCCCTGTGTATGTTTGAGTGTCTGCCTGCCTGCCTGCCTATCTACTCATCTCTTCTCCATCGCTGTCTGTCTCTCGCAGCTACACCGAACAAAAACGTCCCCGCCCGAAAATAAAACCTACATCTTACCTTTTTGCTGCCTTCAGTTTGAGCTCATCTTAAATGAATTGTCACCTCGTGGTGTTTAAATGACCAATACTATGTGATTACTTTTGTACCGTATCATTACAGCTCATAACTGCTATTGTCACCTCCAAAATAATGTCAAGAAAATGACTTTTTACTCTCAAGAAAATGTGAGGATGCTCCATTCTTTATATATGCTACATTAACGAATATTCATGACTTTACATTTAACTTACTTTACTGGCTCCACATCATTTAACTTTGTTAGCATGTCCTAAAATGACAATGCTATGCCTTATTTTGCACCACATTAGCATTTGTATAATGCTAAGGTACAAATAAACATAGTTTTTTGCATTACTGTGAAAACATGTGATGTGAATCTGCGGAAATTGTAGGCGACAGAATGGTGAAAAACGAAAGCATATTTTATAAACCCTATCTTGTAACGTTTAAGTATCTCTGTCTCTCTTTCTGTGCGTATGCAAGTGTGTGTGTGTGTGTGTGTGTGTGTGTGTGTGTGTGTGTGTGACAATAATGGGTAAGCTCATAACTACCATTGTTAGCAACTAAACACCCCTATTCAGCGATTAAAGCAGTCAGGCGCAACTGCCCTGTCTCTGTGAATGTGTGAATGACTGTGTGTGCGGGTGAGAGTATGGGCGGGTCACAGGAGTGCATGAGAGGAGATACTGTTTGCTGTGTGTACGTGAGAGAGAAAGAGGGAGTGAGAAAGACGGGAAAGAAGAGAGGCATTAGCTGAGAAGAGAGAAAGAGGAAGCGAGTGAAAGAAGAAACAAAGACGGCGAATCTCGTGGTGAAAACGTGTTGCTCGGCGTGGTCTCTCGAGTACCAGAGACAGCCGTGGGTTTGGTGTTACTATGACAACGCATATCCCATAGAGGGTGATAACAACAGGTGCCACGGTAAAACAAATGACTTAATTGGCATCGTGGCTCCTTACTACAGCTGCCAAGAGGCAACTTGATACACACGACGCTAGGGAATAGCATCCTCAGGCTAGGACGGGGCAATGTTTTGATATCACATATATGTAATGAGTAAAAAAAAATCATCTTGTGGTGTCTTTTCTAAGTCTTAAAGGCTTCATTATAGTAAAGTGATCTACTTTTCTGAAACAACAAAACAGTTAAAGCTATTCTATTGTTTTCATTTAGCCACTTAAAATCAACATTACTGATGATTATACATCAACATCTCATTGTGTGAATGTTAGGGTTAATAAGTACCAATAGTCTTAAAGTTCTTCACAATATCAATATCAAGAATTTGGTTAAAAATATTGAAGAAATGTATTTTCTCCATGTCACTTAACCCTAGCTCTGGCGCAGATGGATTTAATTTAAAATTGGACTACGCATGGTATCTTGATATCATGTTTACCTTCATTATCCAGCCCAGCGTTTGTCTTGCCGCCATTGGCGTCCAAAAAAATAAATAATTCGAGAGAAGATCGAGAGTTTTTAATCGCTTGAAATGACGAAAAATAAAAAGGACAAGGACATCCCTCTGTTGCAGGGGCAAAGGTTTCTGGTGGGATTATTTTCGCTGCCAGCAAAGCGTGTTCCTGTGACAGAAAGTGTACTGCCGGTGACCTTGACGGGGGGTGCTAGTGGAGCACGCGCGTGAATTGCGAGCGCCGGAGCCTCGCAGCGGCGAAACTGAGGCTCTGTGGTAAACTGTAGTAAAATTTGAGCCGAGCCTAATGAATTCCCATCACTAATACGTAAAGAGATAGTATCTATAAGGGACGGCTCAATTCAAAATTCAAGTCACGTGACAAGACGTGACGTCACGCACGCTCTCGGGGTGGACGCCCTCTCAGCCCTGGTCTGGCGGAAACACTGATCCAGTAACAGTGGATAAACTGCAACAAGCATTAAGCATGGTCAGCAGCACTTGTTCTTTAAAGACAATTAAAGCCCTCCACACGCAGAACTGCCTGACATTAATTTTCTAAATACTACCCTTGACCCTCAACTCTAAAATTAGACAGCCCCCTTGTGAACGCAGTGAGATGTCCTCGTTTCTAGGACATCATCCTGTTTTCCCAATTGCCGTGAGGAGAGGACTCCTAAAGTCCAGACGCACACTCACACGTCACCAAGTGAAATATGTTGCCGCAACTGGCTCTTCCCATTAGGTCAATACAGGACCAGACAGA